CCTTAAACTTTTATTACACCAAACATGATCATCATTAAGCTGACTTATACTTTGCACTTGCTATATAGCCATAGGCTCGATACTTCATATAGACATGAGAGATCATGTCGTAGTTGACAGGAACCAAAAAAATACCAAATTTCGTTTTATTCCTCTATCTGTACCAAATTAAACCACTTATGTTGTCCTTCATCCACATAACCTAATCTTAATCAAGATGCATCCAAAATCAATATTTACACAAGTAGGACTAGATTAATTAGTAATTTAGTATGGTAAGTCTTGGAACATCAAATTCAAAAAAAAACAAAAATACCCTTTTAAATCTTTATTACACAAGGGCTTAAAATAGTAAAACCACATACTAATATCTTTGTGCTATTATTATTAGTTTGAGCATATTTAATAGGTTTGACATAACCCCAAAAAGATATTTTTCCATTTTTTTTTCTTATTTATGCACCATAACATCGGGCCTTTTTTTGTTCTTTAATCCAAAAAGGCTAAGTCACATCCAATTACAACCATGGTAATAGTTGCAAAATTAAAGGATAACAAAAAAAAATTTTGATTTAAGATTATAAAGAATATGAAATAAAATTACAACATAATGAGGGTGGATTTTGATAGCATCATAATTTCATCTTGTGTGTTGCCAACATGCTTTAAACTTGTTCCATATTTTCCATGTTTAAGCAGATTCCATTCCCAATCCTCGACATTTGTTTTATCTTTCTCTAGTATACTTAATGAAGTTTTATTTTTTCATCTTATCTTTCTATTGTTTTTGTCTCTTATTTGTTCTTATCTACATGGTTTTATTATTTATTTTACAAATTTTCTTATTCAACTGCATTTTGAATCGTCTTTGTTTGTTTTTGGACAGGAAATTGCTAGTATTGATTCTAGAGTATGTGATAACGCGATTTGTTCAACATAGCATGGAGCTTGGGGATGAAGTTTATCTATAATTAAGTTTCAATTTTTTTTTTACTTTTATTTGTTACTTTATGTTTAACTGTACTTGTGTAACATCCATAAAATTCTCAAAAAAATTTAACTTTTAAATAAACCCAAAAACCATCATTGTTTACAATTTGTTTTCAAAATAAGTTAAACATTAGAGAAATCCCAAAAAACGTGAAACAAAGCATGAGGAGGTGCACGATCATGCCTTCGCCTTCCCATGATCCTCTGAAATACCTGAAAGATAATCTAAAACTCTAAGCCCAAAGCTTTGTGAATTCCCACAAAAAATACCATCAGAACACATAAACATCACAATAATAACATGCATATAGAACCTTCAGCATGTCTGGACTGCCACATCGGGCCTTCAGCCTGTTTGGACCGTCCTCTGGACCTTTGGCTTGACTAGATTGCCTTATAGGCCTTCAGTCTATCTGGGCAGCCCTGGGTCTCTTTGCCTTCAACATAAAGAAGGACCGTCTCATCCCACCCCAAACACACATCAACGTATATGATATCAACACTAGCTAGTATGCATAGAAAATCATTTAAATTTAACAGATCTCTAGCATTAACATATTGCTACACATAGTATCAAACAATAAACCAGGATTCAATCCAAAGGATTGGCTTGGGTGCCTTTGACCCGAAGATACAGTTAGGAAAACTCACCTCTCAAGCATTGTAAAACTAATAAGGTCTGACTCTGAATCTCAGCTCCCAACTCAAAAGCCTACAACCACCATGTGGCCAATTCCATCAAAACCCAAATACCCAAAATACCCTTAAAAGTCAAGCTTGGTCAACCATGGTCAAAGTTAAAGTCAACGTTCATGGTCAACAGTCCATGTTGAACCAACATTCCAGGTGCACTAATAAACTCGTCGTGTTTCTATATCAATCAGATGGTCAGGAAAACCCCAGCCAACTCGCTGAGTTGTCTTGAAAACACATTGTGTTTGCTCGAGCTTAATACATTTAGTTGTTCCTATGATTCCAGGGACTCCAAGGCTCAGATCTAAAGTAAAATGCTATCAAAAAGGATAAAGTTTCTAACTTTATCCTTTGGGGCTACTCCAAGTGTTCAAAAACCTATCCACTAGGCTTGAAGATTCAAGGGCTTAACCGATAAGCACAAAATGCTTGAGGTTTGAAACCCAACCTTTCCAGAAGAGATTCTAGCATCAAAATCAACATAAAGTTGGTTCTTTATAGACATGCATGTATTGAACCCAAAATGGGTCAAAAAGGGTAAAATATCACCTAAACTCCATGCATGGAATCAAAACTCAGCTAAAGACCAGATCCAAGCCACTACAAGATCACCTTGACCTAGACATTCGTAAAGTTGCAAACTTTATGAGATCCATCCATTTCAACATCCAATAATAAGGAGAAAAAGGGACAAAACACAAGATCTAGCTATATAAAGGAATAAAAATCGGATCTTGGACACTTACAATGGTCCAAAAGAGTGCCAAATTGAAGATGAGGGATTTGCTTGCTAGATCCTTACTTCCTTCTTCCAACTATCTTCTTCTTTTTCTCCAAAAATACTACACTAGCTCACAAATGAGAGGGAAGGATGATTAGGATTCACAAGGGTCGTTATGGGGGTTTGGAGGCTAATAAAAAAAATTCAACCATAGGGATTTAAGGGGATTAAATAGGATGCAAAACCCTAAAACTTAGGGTTTCTCATCCAGCTGCCAGCACGTCGAATTTCCCCTCACCAACACGTCATGTTCGTCCACAAAAATACGATGCCGAAAAGACCTTCCACTCGTCGTGTTAAAGATTTCAACACACCAAGTTCCCATGGAAAACATGCTTAAATGAATAAATCTCATACCTGGAAGTCAGGATGTTACAAGTTGGTTCCACATTTAGACATAATAGACTCAAAAAGTTTTAAAATATTGATAAAAAACAAGGGAAATTTTATTATTTTTTATGTGATACAATTTAATTATTCTATATTTTATATTATAGATAAGATTATATAGATACAAGTAACCTAAGTTATAGAATCTCTTAGAGTATTTATGGGTGTAAAAGGTGCCACAAAATAGTTTTTGTATTATGGAAAGTAATTAGGTACCACTAAAAGCTTAAAATGTGCAATTAAAAGTGGCATGAAATGTTGAATCAAACGAGCATGCAATGGCACAAAATATGTGCAACTAAAAACTTTTCTTCTATTGTGACGAATAAAAAAATTGTCCATAAAAGCTTAAGAAACTGCAGCAGCAAGAGTTAAAAATGTCACTAAAGAGTTTTAGTGGGAGCGTTTCTATTGGCACTTATTATATGTGCTGCATATTCTCTTAGAAGCATTTAGCGGCATTTTTTTGGAGGTTTTAGTGTCACTTTTTGTGTGCCACTAAATGACATATTTTTGTAGTGATGGGACTATTATTTTGAGTTGAACACAATGTAACAAGTATCACTACTAGAAAAAAGGCCTTTTACGACGCTCATTGCGCGTCGTAAAACGCTCAGACGACGCGCAAATGCGTGTCAAGGAAGGCCCTGTCATAAAGAGAGACGATGCGCATTTATGACGCGCATTTACGACGCGTATTTACGACACGCGGTTATGACACGCAATGCGTATCAAGGAAGGCCCTGTCATAAAGGAAGACGACACGCATTTGCGTGTCGTAACCTTACGACGCGCGTGTTTATGACACACAATGCATATCAAGGAAGCCCCTGTCAAGAAAGGCCATGTCATAAATGAAGATGACACACATTTTTGCGTATCATAATTTTAAATGTTCTAAAAAAAATATTTATATATTTATTAATTTTTAAATTAAATTTGCATTTAATGTCTCATAATAGAAATAAAATATCATATACAAAAAATACAATCCATTGCATAAAATTTAATATCATACAATTCTATTTTTTACAATATCTAAATTTGCATGTAATCTACTCTCTACATCAAATTCCAACTAAGTAAAGTTGCATCTTGCCTTTCATAATTCTTTAAGACTAATGCTCCAAACAGATGTTATATGGATAAGAAGTTGTACATTGGCCCATCTACTCTGTGTTTCATACTAACAATTGAAATGAAGAACGCAACACTTGCATTTGCAACATCTTATCTCTTTCGGCTTGAGCTTTCTTTTCCTCTTCTAACTCCAAAGCTATTCGCTTTCATCAACCCTATAAACACAACACAAAATCACTTGTCATTTTCATTCTACTTTTAAAATTAATTCTTATTAGGACATTCTGCTCTTAAACCTACCAATCTACAAATTTTTCAAAGAATATAATTTATAATTTTTATGGAAAGTACATTGCTATTTCTTGAATACAAGATGTTACAAATCAAGAAACTTACATGGACTGCCGACCACCATGAACCTGCAAGACACGAGACATCAAATAAATCAAAATTAAATTTTGATTTTTTTTGCTTTCAGTAACGATTAACATTTAACAAAAAAACAAAAGGTCAACCCACTCCCTTTGCCTCATTCCAGCTGACCCACTCCCTGGAAACAAGAAAAAAAAACTATCAACCAACAATTTACTTATATTTGAGAGGTTTTCATATTGATTTATTTATTTGTTAATAAATAGTTTACATACTACACCTATGGTATGGATTAAGTATTCAGGGGAGGATTTACTATCAAGGAAAATGTCGAGGGTAAATTGTTCACATTGGTTTAAGTGATCTGCAATCTCTTTGAATTTGAAAGTATGACTTCGTCTTGAAGCTGCATAAAATAAATATCAATGAATACAAGCGCATAAGTCATAATCACATCTATTATTGTGTGCACATTAAACTAACACTAATTGCTAAAAGAATAAAGGTTTTGACATGTGCTACCGACTTATGCACAAGTATTAATCAACTATGAAAAATGGTTTTATTATTGGACCTATTTAACATATGCATGGACTTATTAAGTTTATTCATGAAAAAGAATAGAATAGAAAAGCACCTTTAGCAAATCTACCCAGTTTTAGCAAATGTATTACAAATACAAGAGTTGTTGTACCTCAACTGCTCTTGCTTCAAAAAAGTGATCAGGTCTGGGCGCATGACCACCATTATGCTGAAGGAAATTTTGCCTTCTTACAACCAAAAATAAATAATAAAAATAAAAATATAGACTAAAGTTTTTTTTATTAGATAAAGTACAGACCTTGGTTCCATAAACAAGACCACCTCCAGCAAGAGGATGAAAGCAAGCTACATTGACCTCATCTTCTGCACTCGGAAGCGCACTGACAAGTTCCATATCTGAAACTCTATATACCTGAAACCCAAAACCATATGTTCAAATAATAAACAACCATCAATCGACAAATGTGGATAGAAAATTAGAAAAAAAATAGTAACCTCTAAAACTGTGTAAATGGATAATGAGGTCTCCCCATTAATAACAATGCTTTTAAGAGGGGAACTGTGATGTCGACCATAAGCAAGCAATATGTGTTCAGAGGTTGGCGAAAACCGCAAACATTTTTAAATTAATTAAATTACATTCAAACAGAACGTAAATTTCTTCATATTAGATATAATACATAAACCTACTTACCTGAATAGATGTTGAACAATGAGCAACTCTAATCGGCCTCGACTTAAGTATAGTACCAAAACTACACCAAACCAATATCAATACATTAGTAATTTTCAATTAAATAAATATATATATTAAAATATAAAATGATAAATAGAAAAAGAAATTGAAAATTTACGTTGCATCCTCGAGCAAATATATCCAAAACAATTATAGGTAGAATAACATAGTAGGTTGTTCGACTTCAGCAGCAGTAATAAAGACTTAACACCAAAATAAGAAACTGGGACAGGAAAGTAAAGTTCACAGGGCACAAAATATGGTAATGACAGGGAAGGGCAAAACTGGAATATATGCAGTTTTGGTAATCTGAATAGGGAACAGAGTATACCAAAGTTTTAGAGGCTTTTCTATAGAAATAGAAGATGATCTTACTCTGTCCACATCCACATTATTCTCTGCCTCCAGCTATGTTGTTGAAGTTGGAACCTTAAAAGAAATGTTCTTAGCTACATTAAGTTGTGAAGCTTTTTAAGCAAAAATGGAAAGGCATGAGATCTGATTGGTTAATTCATCAACCGAAATGTCTTCTGTAAGCAAAAAGTAAAACATGAACTTCAACTTAAAAAAAAACTAATACAGAAAAAGGCATAAATTAAAGGAGAATATGTTATATATCAATGGAAACATACCAGATTGGATAAGTTTCTCAATGGCAATGATATCATATGTTTTATCATTACATGACTCCTTAATTAGATCAAGCAAAGAAAGAACTGTTTGTTTCCAATACCGAATGTTGAACTCCATTGGTCATGCACTCATGCTATGAATACAAATAAAAAGTCTTAAGGAATTCAGAAAGATAGCTTAACCATACCTGGGAGATCTTGTAGTCAATGTCTCCCCTTGAGATGAAAACTTTAAATTACTACTACCCTCACTTCTTCTATTATTAAATCAATGCAGAACCTACTGCACCCATTAATGCTTTGATCATTTTGTTTCTTCAGGAAAAAAAAAGAAAAAACACATCAAATCATTCACTGATTCCATTAGATATCATAAACCAAATCGAACCTAGGCAACTCTTATCAAACACAACTAAGTTTTTCAGTTTTTGCATTTCTAAAACTCTAAAAAATCACTTCAAAAAATATAATAATAATAATAATAATAATAATAATAATAATAATAATAATAATAATAATAATAATAATAAATGATCGTGAAAAAAATATAAAAATGGCTACATAAACCAGAAGAAAAGGAGACAAGTCGGTCATAGACCATCCAAATGAAAACCAGCTATCCTTTTTTTCATCCTCTACTTGGCTTCTTCCATTGATTTTACATATTCAACTTTTGCATGTGCAAAGAACCTGAAAGATGAACGCAAAATCTCTAAAAGGTCACAATCATATATTACAAAAGATACAAGTAATTATTAAACCAAAAAAAAAAAAAACAGTAACACGTGCTTGTGTAACCAGAACACAAACCTCCATAGAAGAATAACTTTTGGATCAAGATCTCTCTCAATACTTCTAGCTTCTGGGTCATCAGAATCCATCGTTTGTTGGAGTATACCAGCATATAACTTAATATATCACCTACGAAGATGACAGAAGTGCTAAATTTGGCTCCAAGATATCCTATAGTGAAACTAAGTAGTGGCGATCTCGAGCCCATGCAGAAACTGCATGACCCTTGGCAGGTTCATTTATTCCATCTTCAAATATCTATCATTTGTGAAAATTGAAGCTTAGAAATCTTGCACATCTAAGGGTACTTACTACTTCCATTACAACTGTTTAAATATGCAAGGAACAAGGATCATACCTCAACCCAATCCTTAGGACTGAGATCTTCCCATTTCTTATCCACCATCCAAGGAGGTTGGCTGGAATCGTGATACATAGCAAGCCTTTCAAGTTGCAATGACTGAAAAAAAAAACATGTGAGATATCAAAAAGACATAAACTTAATATTTTTTGGTAAATGATAAAAAAGTAGAAGACATATATCATGACTAGGACATAAAGAACTGAACTTTGTTAAGAATTCATTTCCTGTTTCTAAGACCTAAAGAGGTGTCAATGACTAAATATTTAAATGGAAAAGCAGGATACAAAAGATGGAAAATGGGACTGACCTTTCGTAATTTATCTAGTGCACCACTGGTGTCAAATGTTTCATTCCCCTTTTCATCCACTGTAAAAGCAGCAAGCTTTGCCAGAGTAAGACCAATAGCAAAAGGATGTCCTGGATTGCTGAACAAAAAAACATTGTTCAAATCAGGCAAATGAAGAAATATGGACTGAGAAGCTGATTTTTAGGCAACCTCATCCTCCATCCTTAGAGATTATTAAGAAAATGTGCAGAAATTATTAACAAACCTTTCCAGAAACCGATGCTTAAGGCCCCTGATGAAAATCCATGGACATATTCAGCCAAATATCGTCGAAGCATTAAAAGGATTATAGTTATTTGCAATATAAAGGAATAAAATAATGTTCAAGACAATAACAAGCCATCAATAAATTATAATTATACTAAGAAAACTGAATAAATTGTACCATTAAAAAGATTATAGTTATTTGTAATATAAAGGAATAAAATACTGTGACATGGCAAGGAGATATTGTTGCTGAAGCCCTCCACTCTAGGTTCTCTCCACCACAACCAAAACCAGATGATTTGAACGATTGGTGTAAACAGTCAAATGTCACTCCCAATACTTCAGAAGCATCATTTTGCTGAGCTGCATTTCTGAGAAAGTGAGATGAAGTAGGAAAGAAAAAGATTTTAATCCTTTTTTAATGTAAAAAACAAAATCTTTTTATAAATGTAACTAACCTCGACAGACAGCTGTTCCTTTTGTTTTTGGATTGCAACTTCTATGCAAGAATCGAACTGATGGAGAAATTCGTTCACCCTCCAACTGTCTAATTGTGGAGGGTGGCGACATAGAAACACGCTGACAGCCTAGGCTGCCGACCATGGCGGTAGATGGTGCTTGGCGGGGAAAACAGAAAAGAATGAGAAGAAAATAATAGGAATCGATAGCTTAGGTTGGAGAAAATTTTGTCTCGAAGTCCTCTTCCCCCTCTTCCCTCGACGGTGACTCATAAATCCGGCAGACCCACACAAAAACCTTGAACAATTCCCTCTCTAGCCGCCAAGACGAACGAATAGAAGATTAGGGTTGTTTTGCGATGCTAGTGGTTTGGTTAGAGGGGATGTATGAACTAAATATAAGCAATTGTCCCTAATAGAAGATCTCAAAGGGACCCTGGTTTCAACAGAAGGCTTTCATCCAAAGGATACCTGATGTCAAAACGTGGCCGCTAATTAGGTTTTTTTTTCATGTGGAGGATGTAGTTGGAGGTTTTCATCCAGAGAAATCCCGAGTTGTGTTGGATGAAGGACTAGGGTTGGAGGCGTTGGAGGTGGGTGAAGATGAAGTCGATCCCTAAGGCTTTTTTCTTGCTAATTCAAAGATTAGGGTTGATGGCTGAGAAAGGATCGAACAGGCGGGGGTTTTGATTTTTATGGATTCCATTTCCCCCTGGTTTTGATTTTTATGGATTCCATTTCCCCCCTGGTTTTGATTTTTATGGATTCCATTTCCCCCCTTAGCTATTAAAACGCACGTTTCATTAAAATTATAAAGCGACAACCACAGACGACGCACGTTTAAGATAAAGCACCCTCCGTGTTTTTAATTTTTCTTCTTCAGACACTAATTCAAGGGAACGCAATAATGCGTGACCTAAATCCTTAAATTTTTTGAAGAGATGGCACTTTTTTAACGTCACTCTCTTTTGCGTAACATAAATCTCCGAGTGTCGTTGTTTGCGCATCGTAAAAGGGTCTTTTTCTTGTAGTGTATGGCTTAATTATTAATTGGAATATATTATTTATTATTATTATTATTATTATTATTATTATTATTATTATTATTATTATTATTATTATTTACCTTGACTCGCTCAACTTCACATACAAAGTATCTAAACAAATTACTAGATAGAAAAATAAGAGAATAAAAAAAGATGATTTGATGGTTAGTTCTTGTGTTTTATAAAACTTTGAACTTTACCCCTTAAGGTCGTCCTGTATACCTGCAACAAACATGCTCAGCCACGGACCACGACCATGCACACTATCCTGCAGGTTCGTGTTCGCTCGTGGTAGTGGTGATTTGTGGTGGCGAGTACAAGGCGAACGACCAATCCGTTTCTTCTTCACTCTCAGGTGAGTATCTTCTCTCTCTCTCTCTCTCTCTCTCTCTCTCTTTCTCTTTCTTTCTTTCTCTTTCTCTCTCTCTCTCTCTCTCTCTCTCTCTCTCTCTCTCTCTCTCTCTCTCTCTCCCCCCCCCCCTCTTCGTTCTTCTTTTCCATTCATTGTATGCACTCCTAAGTGGGTTCATGGGTTTTCGTGGCTGATCGTGAATCTATCCACGACGGTTGTCGTGGAGAGTATTACTGATGGTGTAATAATAATTTTTACAATACTATTTAATAAAGGCATGGTGGCAAGATGATGCGAGTGCATTGATGCAACAGGCTCTTGTCATGTCAATGGATAGTCCTATTGTACTATGACAACAAAAGATGCTCCTACTATGACAACAAAAGATATTGATATGTTGCTGCTCTACTATGACAACAAAAGATATTGATATGTTGGAGGCAGCTACTAATGATTAAGATTTGACATTTTGTAACTCACTATGAATATTAAGATTGATATTTTTACAATTTTGCTAAGGGGTTTTACAATTTTCCATTCTAGAAGGTGAAAAAGATAGTTTAGCGCAGGCAGATATGCGGAAACTCTTGGTTGATAATTCATTTGTCTCATCTATTCTTGCTTCAGTATGTCTTTTTCATGTCAGGGAACGTTACATTATACTTCCATCCACCTTGATTTCCTTTTTTACAAATCTGAGAGAGATAGGATATATCTTATATATATATATATATATATATATATATATATGTGTGTGTGTGTGTGTGTGTGTGTATGTGTTGGGTGTTGTGTTGATGCAGAGGGGGCATGTGATTGCATATGCGTCAAGGAAGCTGAAGCCTCATGAGGCGAAGTACCCTACCCATGATCTTGAGTTGGTGGAGCTGGTTTTCTCCCTCAAGATTTACACCATTATCTTTATGGTGTTTGGTGTACAATCTACATGGATAATAAGAGATTACGATATCTTATGTAGTAAAAGATTATGATTGGAATAATTGTATCAACCCGACATGGCCAATGTTGTGGCCGACACCTTGAGGTGGAGGACAGTCAGCTCCCCGATTCTTGATCTTTATTTGAGGATGATTGTGATGAGTCCAGTCTTGGAGATGATCAGAGATACAAAGTAAGAGGCCATCAAGGAGGAGAACTAGAACAGTGGGCGGGTGGTCTTCCTGGTTTTAGCCTTTGATATCGATAACAGGGGTTTATTGACTCTTCATGGATGGCTTTTAGTATCGTATGTTGGTGGGGCTTGACAAGTAATGATAGATGAAGCTCACAACTCGAGATTTTCCAATCATCCATGGGATACCAAGATGCATCATGACCTTCAACATGACTATTAGTGGCCTTCTATAAGAGGGATGTGGCATGGTTGGTGGAGCGGTTCTTGACCTACTGGAAGAACAAGGCCTAACATCAGCATCCTCATGGAAAGTTGCAGCATTTGGAGGTCCCACTATGAAAGTGGTAGTAAGTCACGATGAATTTCTTTTAAAAATTGTCGAAGACTACAAAGGGTTTTGATGCTATCATGTCTGTACTGGCATGCCTCCTTTTGAGCTTCTGTATGGGAGCAAGTGTTTGACTCTTATCTGTTGAGGATAGGTCGGGCAGAGAGGTTTCTAACGGCTTAGACGTGGTTGATGGCCTAGAGCTGCCAGAAGAGTTATACGGACCGATAACGCTCTGAGATGGAGTTTAGGGTTGGATATTTGATTCTCCAAAAGGTGTCACTTTGGAAACGTGTTATACGATTCAAGAAATGGGGCAAAATGGGTTGCATGTTTATTGGCCCTTTTACAGTGATAGCCCAATTGGGAAAGGTGGCATACCGGTTAAAACTTCCTTTGGAATTGTGTCAGATTCACGACACCTTCCATGTTTCCCAGTTGAGGAAGTATATAGTTGATGATAATGTTCTGGTTCCTTTGGAGGACATTCAGGTCGATGGTCACTTGATTTACATCGAGAGGCTGAGGGCGATTCTATATAGGAAGTTGATGACCTTGTGGAACAAAGTAGTGAACATGGTGAAAGTTCAGTGGCAACATCGAAAAGGCTCTAAGTGGACTTTGGAGCCTAAGGTTGAGATGCTTACGCACTACCCTAATATGTTCGTAGAGGCAGAGTTAGAGGATGAGTTTTGATTTTAGTAGGGGAGAAGTGTCACACCCGTCTCCAAGTACCATTTTAACCCTTAACATTTTATGTTATTGAATTTTAGCCCTTTACGCTGGGCGTACAAAGATTGTACGCCAGGTGTAAGTCAACATTAGTAGTGATGGAAGATCATTCAAGAAGTGGTGGTGCATTAAAACATTTGGATCCAGTATCTACATATCTTTGTTCATCTATTGAAGGTATAAAGTTAATACCTTGGAGCTTGTTTTGATAGATCTTCTTTAGTCTTGGATTTATGTTTATTTTGTCTGAATACTTGTATTCGTTCTTCAGCCTCTTTTCACTCTGCCTCAATGACAGATGACTTATAGTGAGAGCCTCTTTTCAGCTCATTGTGATTATTGCAAAGTTTCATCGGACATATATGGGCTGTTCGAAGAGGATGTAACAAAATGGCTGATCTGATCAACATAGTAACGATCAACATCATCACACGAGAAAATTTGGAAATTTGCAGATGCACTCATATTATAATTCAAAAATGATCTAACTCTATAGAACTGTTTACCTATCCACATAACTGTTTTTCATTCCACAGAGCTGTTTGTTAGTCCGTAAGAGCTATTTTTCAGTCCACAGAGCTGTTTGTCAGTCCTCAGAGTTGTTTGTCATTTCGCAGAGCTTTTTGTTACTCTGTACAAATGTTTGTCAGTCTGTAGAGCTATTTGTTATTCCGCAGTCATTTTTCGTGTTTAAGTAATCATTTATTCTTCAAAAAAGTAGCACCTGTATTCTAAAATTTGATTAATAATAACCAGTATCTCTTGTAGACGATTGTTTTATATGTAATGTTTTATGTGTAATGTTTGCTATTGCTTTATCTTATTATTTGCAATGTTTTATGTTACCATGTCATTCTAATGTTTGTGTTTTCTGTTTCCATGTATTTATAATGTTTGTGTTTTATGTTTCCATGTATTTGTAATGTTTGTAGTCTCTGTTCCATGGAATAAAGTAGAAAACAACTAAACTTCTTTCGTAAATAACCTAATAAAAAACAAATACAAAACATTACATATAAATAAGCTGATTATAACCAAATACATCTAAATAAACAAATAAAAACCAAGTACATAAAAATAACCTACTACAACCACAATACAAATTAAATGTAACATCCCGAAATAGCAAGAGTTGAGTTGAAGGGCTAAAAGTGTAATATGGGAAAGAGTGACTCGGCGAGTCCATAGATGGACTCGGCGAGTAGAGTCGCGACTTGGTCGCGTGAATAGCCGACTCGGCGAGTCAATGAGATGGACTCGGCGAGTAGGCGCTGAGTGGAGAAAACCCTAATTCTCGGGGTTGAGCCCTATATAGAGAGCATTATGTTTCCTCCCCAGCCTCTTTATCACCCCCTTGAGTCCCAGAAACCCTAAAATCATGGAGAAGCACCATTGTTGAGTGGATTGGAGCTTGAAGAAGTAATTGTTGAAGAAAGTTTGGAAAATTGAAGGTGTGGAGCAAGGGGCTTTGCTTGCAGATTGGGGCATACCTTTGAGATAATATCTCGTTCTTAGGCTGTTGATCTCTTGTCTCTTCATTTTGGGGTTTGAGGGGAAGCTTATCTTGGGTGATATTCGAATCTAGAGGTTAGGTCTGAGGTTGCTACCTCAGATCTGGATTGGTGGAGAGTTGGAATGCAGGAAAGTCCCTGTGTTGAGTGTTGGATGAAGCTATCTTGTCCCAAACCTTAGCCCTAATGTGCAAAATGCATAGATCTCTTTGGATTCACGTAAAGATTGCCACTTTACGTGATGGATGAGTTGTAGGAGGCTAGATCTATGTTTTTTATCAAATGCATGGTCTGGAACGCTTCTGTTTGGATGCAGACCGGTGGTACTCGGCGAGTCACATGGGTGGACTCGACGAGTTGCTTGAAGATGAGCTGGAACTCGACGAGTTGGATGAACAACTCGGCGAGTAGGTTGAAGATAACCTTAGACTCGGCGAGTCTGTTCTTGGACTCGGCGAGTCTTGTCGAAGAGTCCCAATATTTTCTGGTTGAGTCGAAGAATCGGCGAGTCAAGGGATGACTCGGTGAGTTATGTGCGAGTGGACTCAGAGTTGTTGGACTCGGCGAGTCTCGGGGTGACTCGGCGAGTTAGGTCGCGGATTGAGTGAAGTTTTGAGTTGGGAACTCTGCGAGTCATAGGGTTGACTCGGCGATTAGGGTCAGTCAGGG